ATTATTATTCCCTTTAAGGAAAATTGTCATGTTATCAGGACTAAGGAAGAAACTGAAGTGATTTGACCTGTGCCATATTTGAATAATATTACTTTTGAAGGATAATTTGTTATAGGATAATTTATTACAGTAGAGGTGAGAGTTTGAAGCTTGAATCTCTTCCTTTTCTTTTTGCTCACTCATGCTCTCTCCCTCCCTATAAAATGGACTGAAAAAACATACCCTTATAATTTGCACTCAACATTTGCATTCCATAAAATTATGGAATGACCAAAACAATCAAAAAGTATCTTCTTTATTGAGAGATTATTTTAACTCTTACATCAGCATCACTGAAACAAGGATAGAAGAGATATATTGAAAGGATGCCAAATACTACGACGGTGATAACAGAAAAAATGAATTAACATCTTGTTTAGCTTTTTAGCATTATGAATAAAATATACAAAACAAAGTAGACTCTATACATATTATATAAGATAACTTGGTATACAATTTATGATTATGGAAAATAGCTTTAAATTCACCCCAATCTAAAAATAGAAGTACATTTTAAAATTAAACATCATTAATATACTCTGTTGTACATGCACACTTACCTCCATTCTAATTGTCTAAACCAGATGACTTTCTTACAAAGTGAAAATATTGTGTATTTTATCATTGATTGATGAATTTGACCAACAAATTTTAGAGTTAAAGACTCGGTCATATGATATCAATGCCTATAAATATATCGCAGCTACTAGTAGGTGTTTCTGGTCTGCATTATTAATATGTAATACTTTATTATCTAGATTTTTACAATATTAATATCTCAAATGGGAATTTACGATGCTATGGCTGGGATGTTAACTTGAGAGGATTAAGAGAACATCTATTAGAAGTGGACATTAGCTTTGCATTTTCTGTTTGAAGATTTTTCACCTTATTAATTGCCATCATATGTCTTTCTTTCTTTTAAGGAACAGTTTATAGAATTGTGCAAGACCCTATATAACATGTTCAGCGAAGATTCTTTGGAGCAAGAACTATACCATGCCATTGCCACTGTTGCCAGCCTTCTCCTACAAATTGGAGAGGTTGGCAAAAAGTTTTCTAATCAGCCTGTTAAAAAGGACCCTGTAAGTAAAGAGTCTCCAGCTTCTGATCAAAGTCAGAGTTCAATTCTAGAGCAATATTCTCAGGCTACTCCAGAAGGCAAAGCTTCTGGAGACATTCAAATTGAGAAAAACCAACAGGGAAATCAGATTTTTGTAGATGGAGGAGGTGAAGGTCCAGGATCACCCATACAGTTGTTTTCAGATGATGAAACTAAAGATGATATGTCCATGTCTTCATATTCTATGATTAGCACAGGCTCCTTACAGTGTGAAGATATTGCGGATGATACGGTTCTAGTTGGTTGTGAGGCAGGCAGCTCAGCTGCACGATGTGGTAGCACCATTGATACAGACTGGTCCATCTCCTTTGAACAGATCTTAGCCTCTATCCTTACAGAATCAGTCTTAGTAAACTACTTTGAGAAGAAAACTGATGTTGCACAGAAAATCAAGGAGCAAAGGAAAATTGAAAGACAATTCAGTTCATCCAGTGATTATGAACTCTCCTCAGTATCAGGCTGAACTTGAGGAATAAGGCAAAGATTGGGCAAGAGGCAGGTCTAGGAACCTAATGGGTGGACAGGTTTTTTTTTAAACCAACACCAGTAACTATGCATTAATTAAAGGAACTGAATAAGGAGTTTATCATACCGATTCTTTGATATGTGAGCTTCCCTGGAGGATAACTTGCTTGCCGAAATAACATTAAATTCTTAAAAGCATGAAAGGATAGAATTGAATAGCCTCTCGGGTTAAAATTACTATAGTAAATTATGCATGTGTGCCTCTGCTTGTCTTTCTGTAATGCAGCTTAATTTCAGGCACACCTATGCTATAGCTCCCTTTTCTTTGGATTTCTTGGTAATTATTTAGAAGTGCAGCCCTGCTTTCTATCTTTTCCCTGTGTCCTAACACAGACATTCAAAATGCTGTAGATATTCCTGCCTAAATAAACCTTGCTAGGAATTGATAAATTCAGTGAAGTAACTTGTTGAATGTAAATATGTTGTATTCTCTTACTCTTGGCATCTTGCAATTCAAAATGCCCCAATGTCTTGGGACAGCTGGTTTCTATCCCAAGTGATTCATTAATATTAATCAGTACAGTATATAACTTTCAAAATTTCAAAGACAGATATTTACTAATATCTTTTAGCCCCTTTTTAACTCTTCAGTGCCATGTTCATTTTTAATTTCCCTGAAAGAAAGGAGTGCAATAGCCATTGAGAATGGAGCAGAGTCCTGAGGATCACAAGACACAAAAGACTTAATTGTCTGACCATTTTATTGTTTCTTCTTAATTTGAGATCGTACATAGCCTGAGCTAATTACTTATAGTCTGTTATCTTTGATTGCTGGCATAATTAGAAAGCCTCTGTAAGTCATGTTTTTCTCTGTGATCTGAAGTAGGTCTTTTTTGTTTGTAAATACATCCATAGGAAATGCAAATGTAAATGCATAACTTACTTGCTATGTGGTGACCCAAATGTTGTATACATCATTTGAATTGCAGTACAAGGGAAATATTGCAATTGTATATGTAATGTATATTAATAGATGAGGTTTAGATCACCTCGTGTTCTGATGGTGTAGTATAAATATTCAGATACAGGACCCATCCTCTACAAAATCATTTGTGGATTGGAAGAAAACTGGAGCTCCATTTTGGATTGATAGCTTCCCTATGGGAAGGCATTCACTCTCAAGAAGCATTATTTGTTTATATTTGTATACATGCTCTGTACACTAGTTGCATGAATTACATTTAAATTGTATAAATGCCGTGTATGGTAATTGCTGAACCAGCCATTAGTGTTGTTACATTGGCTGTTCAGAAGGAGAAAAGTCTAAAGATCTTGAATATGTATATCCATGGAATACACCAGTAGGTGCAATATCCAGTGTTATTCTGATTGTGGCGTATTCTGTATATTTAAGTCTCAAATTTCCTATTCATGTATCTGAAAGCAGATAATAATGACATTAGCTTTTACTAATTCTTGATAATTTATTATGTTTTAATTATATATTTACACACAAAAAACATACATGTAATTTTACATCATTTGTCTGATCAATCATGTATAAATTCAATAAATGAATCAAACCAGTCATAAATTTGTTTTCATTTTAATTTATCATCAGATTATCTGCTTAAGATAAATGCTATTATGTTCCACATTTCATTTTTCAAATACATAGCAAAAGCTCTGTAAGTAATTAAATACGATTTAAATCCTGACTTAATTAGGCTAAAGCTTAACTCAACTTTTTAATGTTATGGGTTAGCTTTGAGATTTGCAAAAGTAGTGCCTTTCATAATGGGAAGAGACCCATTAATGCTTTTTCATTCATTGACCTAGGACATTTATACAGTTATTATCTGAGATAAGGATAAACTTTTTTCAACTTCTCATTCTAGACTGGTGGTCATCTGATCAATGTTTTAAGAACCTTTTTGTTGATATTTTACAAGATTAAAAGAGTTGGGTTACTACTTCTTTGGAAGATTTGTCCAGATTTCCCATTCCTTTTAGATCTTCACAGCTATCTCCTGCAATAATTTTTGCATGCAAACAATTGGAACAAAGATGCTATGTGACTCTGCTCTCATCCCAAATCCACATTCCAACACTGAATAGCATTAGTTAATAGTTATACATTATATCTGAGCTAAAAAATTTAATACCACATGATCTGTTACCTGGCTGCCTAAGCCATTCTCTCTCAAAACCATAATTATCTATTCGTGATATAGTACAACAAGCAGTATTCTGACATCAGTTTGTTACCCTTCCTAGGAGGAGTGCATCTTTTACTCATTCCTTGGGGAATAATCACATTCTACAATTTATTACATTCTTTAGTATAAAAATGTTTGCAGAACAATTGTTAAACATCTTGACATCGCACATTTGAGGGGTCCTTGGTGCTAACAGGTAACAGATTGAATCAGAGTTGGAAGGGACCTTATAAGTCATCTAGTCTAACCCCCTCGCCCAAGTGGGAGACCCTGCACCATTTCTGACAAATGGCAATCCAATCTCTTGAAGGTCTCAAGTGCTCTCTGAGCTTGGTTATTTTCTTGCAGACATTTTATTACCCAAACTAGGTAACATCTGCTGTTACTAGTTTATAATATTTATAATACCGTAGTAATAATTTATAATGATAATAAGTGTTGATCATGTTACCTAGTTTGCATAATGAAACCTCTGCAATAAAACAAGCTCAGAGCATTAAGGAAATGTGTGATTGTTAATGTCAAGATGTTTAACAACTGTTTGGCAAACATTTTTATGCTGAAGAATGTAATAAATTGTAGAATGTGATTATTCCCAAAATCAAAAGATGTGCCCGTTATTGGGAAGGGTAAGAAACTGGCCCAAACGCCAAACACTCCTCCTCATTCAACACTAAACTACAAATATTCTCCTTTTATCAGTCACGCATTTTTCCAAATAAATACATCTGATTTTAAGAAAACTCCACTTTTACGGAGGACGCGCGCGGAGACGTACTTCGTTTCCTCACTAAGGTCGAAAAGCAGAAATCAGACCAGGCCTCCGCAGACACAGCAGCTCTTTGCGTTTCATCGGGGCTTTGAAGCCCCACCCCCACCCCGTTGCTCTCAGCCAATGGGCTCGCATCAAAACAGTCCCTTTTAAACCAATACAAAAGGGTTTAAGGCATGTGCAAGGCGGAGGACTGGGGGTGGTGCGTCGCGCGTTTTCCCGCCTAAAGCCTTCACCGAGAGAAGCGAAGCGAAGCAGAGAGACTGGCTTACGACACAATATTGGTGGATTGGTGTGTCTGGTCTCAGAAGAAGGAAGTTTCCTTTGTTTTGTTTTCGCTCGAAAGCCCAGACCATTCCCCCTCCCCCCACCCTTTTTTTTAATGGCTCAACAGTTTCAAGTGCTGAGGTGCTGTTCCTGTAACATCTTTCAAGTGCAGCAGGTGAGAAACGGGGAGAGCTACTGGCTGTAGCGCGGGATACTTTTTTTTATTTTTATTGTTATTTGTAAACGGAAAGGGCTAATTTGAACCGAACCAAGGAAATGAAATCCTACCAGATTATTAGAACAGCAGAAATATTTCATTTCCTTAAAGAAAGAAAAAATAGTACTCCAGGTTGGCGGGAGGTATAGGAATTGTAGGGGGGAAAGGCCTCCATTTTCAAGATTGTGATGCTTTTCTTGGGTGGGCAACTAGGGCCCCTTTACCAGCAGTGGACTTTTAACTCCCAGAATTCCTGAGCCAGCCATGCTGGGAGGCAGCAATTCTGGGAGTTGAAGTCCACAGGTCATAAAGGGGGCCATAATTGCCCACCCTTGTTCTTGAACAAATGGCAGATCTTCATAATGCACCTGGAATTAGAGAAAATTTTGTTTGGCAATAGCCTGATGCATAAAATCAAATAGACTTTAGTTTCACTGAGCCTTTTCCAATCTGTGGTCCTTGAACACCCATTCCCCTAATCCACAACTAACAACATGAATAAGGGATGAGAGTGATTGTCTTACTTAGTGATTGTCTCCCAGACAGCAAGTTAATTTCCATGTAATATATGTCCTTAATTTACTCTCAATTTTTCCACTTCTATACTTATAAGGTACTTTGGTTGAATCTCATGAAGATACTAATTGAAAAATGATTTTTCTCATAACAGCATATTTTGCAGATTGCACATACAACACCATATAAAAAGTTGAAATCTCTTGAGTTGTTGAACTCACAGACAGGTCCATGCAATTTTTCCTGACAATATGGAAATGGTTTGTCAGTGCCTCCTGAGATTTCCTGGTGATCTTTTAACCAAGTGTTAACTAAATCTGACCCTTCCAAGAAGGTCAGCCGGATGAAGCTGCCTGCTGAGTTATGCTGTGTAGTGACAATACTATAGACGGAAGAATCTTGATCCTATTTCATTATATATTTACAACAGATTTAAATTATAGAGAAGATTTCTGAATTTACTCTGTTTTTCTAATTCCACTGAACTTAAAACTTAAATATTTAAATACTTAAAACGAAGAAGAAAATTAGGAATTTCTAACAGACATATTGACTGTTAAAAAGGACCTCAAAGTGTGGAAAAATTTAAACATAAATAGTATGTTGAAAGAAAAGTTTAAATAATAATAATAATGTAATAAATCTCTAAAACCACACATATTTAAAACAAAACAATTAAAAATTCTGTGATGGGATCTACTGTAATAAAAAGTAACAAAGTTGGTACAGTTTTAGTCAAAAATTTAAAATGTAACTTTTCTCGGTAAAAAGTTACATTTTAAACATGTCAAAAGTATGTAAAGTTTTGCATCAACATTTCTGTTGCACATGACATAATTTTAACTTTAGCGTAAATTATATTAGCTAAATAAGTATATTTAATTTGCATAATTTAGACAAATTATGATGCACAGTAGAATTATATCTTAGAGGTGGAGGGTTTAGTCACTAGATTGTAAATTTAGAGCTATTTGGGGAAATACCATTTTTTGTGTCTATATGTAAATTCAATGAAAGTTTATCTTTGGAAATCCTGAACACAATCTGAACAGGAACTGGAGTAACTATTAGAGAACAATCGACCAATGGAACAGCTTGCCCTTGGAAATTGTGGGAGTGCCATCAGTTGAGACTTTCAAGAAGAGATTGGACTGCCATTTGTCAGAAATGGTGTAGGATCTCCCGCTTGAGTGGGTGGTGGTGGTTTGGACTAGATGACCTACAAGGTCCCTTTCAACTCTGATTATCTGTATCTATTAATTCAAATATAGTAATTATACTTAAAATTCTTTCTTAGGTTAAAAAAAGCAAAAAATGGAACTGCAAAATATGTGATGAAAAGCAGTCAATTCTTAGGGTACGTAACCCAACCCATGTTTCTTTATTAAAGTTAACACTAATAGTGGAATAGCTTTTTGATAACAACTCTTCTTTAATATTAGTCTTCAATTCTTTAGCAAGTTACCTATGGGTAAGTCTCACTGAAGTTACTTTTGATTTTATATGTATTAGTTTTCTAATATTAAATAAAACTTTGTCATCTTGCAAAAAAAAAGTTTTGTGAAAATGCTCATATAACATGAGCATTAAAGTTTAACGATGCTTTATTTTTTCTTTCTTTCTTATACACACATCTTCATAGAATACTGTTAATACATGGAAAAGTGTAAAGAGTGCAAAATATGGCAGCTATGCTTCTACTGGCCCAAATATAGAGATTGTGTGATATGTGTACTGAAAGATTTATACTAGGTTCATCTTTCTAATAGGTGACAATTTAAGGTGCTGATTTTAACTTTTGAAATACTGAACAATTTAGAATCTAACTAGCTAAGGGATCATCTTTCTGTTATGTTAAAATCTGGCAGGGAGCCCTTTTGAAGTTGCCCCTGCTGCCACATTTTGGTGTTCTGATATGAGATAAGGAATCATCAGTTATCCTCTGGAAATTATCTTTGGCCCCACATTCTTGACATTAGAATATATGAATTTCTTTTAATTTTCTCTTTTGCTTTACACTTGACTAGAACTTTAACTTGCTTTTTAAAACATTTGTAATTTAATTATTGTTAACTAACAGGTATACTTGTTCAAGAAGAAAGGCAAGATATACATTCAATTATATGTGCCGTAGTATAATGCAGTACAGTACAGCACAGTTTGGCGTAAAAAAAGAATTAACATTACATGGTGATTATGGCAAAAAGTGCTAGCTAATGTTTTATCCAGCTATGAAATGGTAAACTGAACTTTGTAATATAAGCTTTCTAATGTCAACATTTCCAAGATATTTTCTTGTCTAAACAGAGAAACAGAATAACCATGGATAGGCAAAATATATCAGTGGGAGCAGGAATGACTTCCTGTTGGCTTTCCAACTGGGTTTTCTTATGGAAAGCTGGTAGTAAGTGCTGGAAATCTTCCTCTCTTCCACTCTCCCTCCCTCCTCAGCAGGCAGGTAAGTACTTGGCTGCTCTTGGGCAGGAGAATGAGTGAGGAAATGTGGTGTGAGCACACATGACCTTCCCATGAATTTACAGGAAGCTGATAGGGGATGTTGAAAATGAAAAATGGCATGATCTCAGTTGACCATGATTGTGCAGCAGCAGCATTGAAGAAACGGCACTCAGCACTAAAGCAACCACAACTTCCCCAAGTTTAATTCCCTTGGGAATCATGGATCCCAGAACTCTGTAAGTTGGCACATCTGAGGTGCCTGGGTTGAAAAGGCATATATATATATATACACACACACTATACAGAAGCCTGATGATGGCAGATGAGATTCTGCCGAAACGTTGCTACAACTTTAAAAGCACAACTACAATGACGTGGGAAAATACCTGAACAAAGCTGAATACCATATATATATATACGTACATACATACATACATATTTGTTTTCTTAAGCTTTCACGGGTACTTACATGTATGGTATTCAGCTTTGTTCGGATATTTTCCCACGTCATAGTTGTGCTTTTAAAGTTGTAGCAACGTTTCGGCAGAATCTCATCTGCCATCATCAGGCTTTTGTATTGTGTTCGTCTCCAGGTAGAATTATATTCTTTAATTTTCAGTTTAGCATTCAAGAATTGAAGGAAAATATAACATAGTATTTTAATGGGATTTCAACCTGTTTAGGTTTTTGGCCAGGGCTCTGGGGTTGATTGCAGACACCATGTGCAGAAGCTAAACTTGTTGCAAGGAGAACATGATCATGCACCTGTAAGCAAACTTAGGTACGGTATTAACATTTTGATTGCTCTTTTTTCTATATTTATGCTCAAAAGTGTTCTAGAGCAGCGGCCCCCAACCTTTCTGGCTTGGCAGCCTGGCTAGAGGAAGAAGAGGGGAACAGGTCCATGCGTGTAGTGGGCCAGCATGCATATGCAACTCAAACTTGGCCTGGTTGCAAATAGGCCAAGGCCCAGTAATGGGCTGTGGCCTGGAGATTGGGGACCCTTGTTCTAGGGGATGAGGTATATAACACACATGACATAATCATGCAAATGTTATTTCTATTTGTATACATGTTATTTTGTGTGCAGTAAGTTTGGTGTCATTGTAATTTGGTGCAGATTTGCTTTTGCTTGGCAGCATTTATGCATATCACTGAAACTTCTCATTACAAGGATCAATAGATTTCCTTTATTCCCTTACTAAAATGTAAGATTATAGGTATTTTGCACATTTTTCCTGTTTGTACACTTAAACATCAGTTATTCCTGATTTGACAGCTTGCTTTTTTCCATATGTATATAAATATACAGTTATATATAGTAGTTAAATGTGATCTACCTCTAGGTGTAAAGAAGAATCAGGCCAAATAAGTGATGAGAATATGGCTGTTGACATCAAAGAAAAAACAGGCTGGCAGGTAAGACTTTTTGATTTAGAAATAGCATAATTACAAAGAATAAAATTATAAACTGTTAATCAAGTAAAATCATGATTTTATTTGATTCTCTCTTTTTTTGTTTCCTTGACATACAAGATGGTTACAATATTTAAAAACGAAAAGAGAATTTTTAACAATGCAGGTTGTAAAAAAATCATCAAATAAGTAGTTTCATCATTCAAGAATGGTCAAAAGAGATGTGCCTTTGTGGATTTGCTAAATGCTAAGAGAATAGGGTCAATAGCAGCTTAAAAGCAAATAAGTTCTATAGGCTGGGAACAAAGCAAGAAATTGTTCAAAGTGATAACATCTTCAGGCAGGGTTCTGTTGCTGTTATTAATAACAGATTTAAGAGTGATTTGTAATGGGGTCCCTTGGATAATTGAAATCGAAGCCACCTACAATCGCAGTTTGTGCTGGCAATCAGTTTGGAACTTTTAAGATGAGCATCATAGAATCCCTGTACTTTGCACCAATTTGTAGTTTAGCTGCTACGTGATGTACCAAGTGCAATTTGTGAGTATTTCTCAAGAAAAGGTTCACATATAGCAGTAGTCAAGATTGGGCATAACGAGGATATGAGTGCTCAGCAAATCTCACAAGCTCAGGTAGGGACAGGGACAGTGAATCTCATGTTAAGTCTAACAGCTGTTGTGTGAACGATATCCAAGTGGGTTGGTTTGCCTTCTAAGGAGAGGCTAGATAGAGAGTACCTAGCTTGGCAAATAGTACTTGTGAGAATGATTTGGGTATCTTAATTGACCACAGATTAAGCCTGAGCCAGAAGTGTGCCATAGGCCAATACTGTATTGGGTTGCAATAATAGATGTATGTTGTCAAGATTGCTAGAAATGGTAATACTATTCTATGTTGCAGTGGTTTCACCACATCTGGAAATATGTCCAGATCTGGTCATCACAACATAAAAATGATGTTGAGGAACTGCAAAGAATGCAAAAGAGTAGTGAAGATGGTCATAGACTTGGAGGCCAAACCCTACAAATAGTTTAAAAAATGGTAGTTGCATCTATTCCTGGACAGAGGCCCGATCAGTCCCTTATGCCCTCATGAAAATTTGACTACTGCAACTTGATCTATACGGGTCAGGTCCCAAAGAGCATTTGTGAAACTTCAGCTAATACAGAATGTGGCAGAATGGACAACTAATGGTGCCAGTTTTTCAGCACATGTGACACCACAGCTTCACAAGCTGCATTGATTACTACTTTGCACAGCATGCAATTCAAGGTGCTGGTAGTTACTTTGAAAGCCCTTCATGACTAAGGGCTTGGTTTATTTACAAGGCCATCTCTTCCCTATTTCTATCTGTCTGGTCCAGCAGGAAATATGTGTTGTGGGTTCTGTCAGCAAAAAAGTGTTGGTTAGTGGGGCCCCAAAGAAGGACCACAGTGACTGCCCTTTAAATTGTCATCCCGCCCAAGATTAGGTTGGCCCCTACCTGCTGGCCTTTTGTAAGGTTTTGAAGACCTGGTTCTGGATCCAAGCCTGAGATCTCAGGTGTGAGACTGAGCCTGTTTCTTGGCTGTGTTGAGAGGTTTGTTAACTATTTGGTGCTTTGTGTGTTTTTAAATATTTACATATTAAACACATTTTTTTAATGTGAATCTTCCAGGGTCACATATAGTACTTGAGATGTTTAGTCTGGGGAAGAGATGATAGTAGCCTTCCAAAGATGAAGGGAAATCACATGGAAGAGTGTAGATTTATTTTCCAAAACACCCATTGTAAGACAAGAACCAACCGATAGTAGCTTTACAGTGAGCAATCCAAAAAATAAACAAGGAATTTCCTGAGAATTACCAAATATGGGGGCATTCTGCCTCCTGAAGTCGCAGGATCTCCATTAGAGGAAATTTTCCCAAAAAAATTGTTCAGGATGACATGAGGATTCTTGGACTCAGGAGCATGTTGGACTGGAAGACCTCAAAGAACCTTCCATCCTTATGATTCCTCCTTCATTTGTTGAAAAGGTAGATGAAAAAAAAAACCAGCTTATGGTTTTGAATTGCCTTTATTTAATAGTAATATCTGAAAGCAACTTGAGTCCCTGTATATAACTAACCCCTTTCTTAATAAGTCTTATTAATCAGAACTCAACTTGTGCCTTGAATGTTCATTTCTAGACTAGAGAAGTCTGACAGAAACATAGCTGGCACTAGACATAAGTATCTTGCCAAAATCACAACCTATTAAACCAAGTGACAGCTGTGCTCCAACATTTTAAAAAGTATCATCCCAAACAGTCTGAACTTTAACCTGCTTGTCTCTGTCTTATCTGAATTCATTTTCAGCTTGTTCTCCTTCATCCAGCCTATTGTCAAACTTGGGCAGTATTCACTTCATATGTCTTGAATTGTATGTAAGCAATAATGCAGCTGGGTGTGATCAGTGTACTCCAAAGCCACAGATGACCTAATATGAGCTTGCTTCCATGATTTTCTGTGAATGTTGAACAATTTGAGGAAATAGATTGGAACATCCGTGAACTAGATGTTCCAATTCAATCCAAGTGGTCGTGTGAAACAGCTGGCAAGTATTCTGATCACAAACATGTGACTCTAGAGTTGCTGGGATATGATGTGACTGTAGAGTTGCTCCAAGGACTGGTTGCAAACACAATGGGTGCTGGACAATCATACATTGAGAACTACCTGTATATAGAAATTATCCTTTTTACATAATTCCTTTCTTGGTGAATGTATATAATGCTTCCTTTACTTCTGCAATAGTGATTAGTAAGAGCATCTTGAGTTTGTGAATTAGAAAAATATAGGTTATGTACGGTGGCAGGTGTCTCAATGGTTTTGTTGGCAGGGAATGGCAGAAATTTTGAAGTATTCTATCTAGGTCGGTTTGCATTCCTGTCTTTTTAACTGTGATGCAGAGTCCCAAGTTCAGTCCACTTTCAACTATGGAAATTTGCTGGGTAACACTGGCATTAACCACTCGACAAGGAGTACTGGATTTAAGTTACAGAATACCAGATTCTCAGTGGAATATTAGGAAGGATTCCCTAGTAGAACGGTTTGGAGGGTGGAGCTCCCCCACTAATACATACTTATCTCTACTGCAGCAGTCCTCTACCTTTCCGGCTTTACATACCTGCAAGGGGGGGGGGAAGAGGGATGGTTCCTGGCGAGTGCATGCATAGGCAGCTTCATTTGCGTGCCCGCCACTCATGCAAATGGAGCTTTGCACACATGCACTCATCCGCTGCTTGCACAATTGGAGCTGTGTGCACTTGCCTGCTGCTTGCCAGCCTGTTTCCAAACAGGCCATGGCCCAGTCGTAGACTAGCTCGGGTTGGGGACCCCTGCTGTACTGTGTAACTAGTGTAACACCTAGTTGAAATGTTAATTTTGTGAGAGAACTGTATTTTTCACCAATCGATGACCCTGATAGGCCTGACAATTCTAGAGGGTTACTACGGTATTAACACCATCTTTACAGTTCAAACTGCAATCACCATCACAGAAGTTGAAATGGCTAGAGAGTAAGCTCTGAAAACTATAAAGATAACTGTCAGCAGATGGTTTCTCCTTTTAGCATTTAAGAATTGACATTGTTGCATTTTTTGTTTATTTTAGGATAGGAGACACTTAGCCATGGTTAATGTAAAAAGCTGCAAAGATGATTTATGTGACAGTGCAATTCCTGTGACTGAAGATCATGTGCTACAAAGAAATAATCGACAGCCAGAATCAAAAGTAATTGGACTTTCAAAATGGAATAAATTCCTTTTATCTGACAAGAGTTATAATATTGACATGACAGGTGGAAGGCAAAGGACGTCAGACAAAACACCTGCTGCTGGCACAAGTGATAAAAGAGCCACCACTTCTAGTGCTGGTTGTAGTAACTGGCATCTCATACCACAACAGAATGTATTTACCTGCTTTGACAGAGCAAAAGAAGTCTCTAATTCTGATCACCTTGGGAAAAGCAGCAAATACTCTGCAGGTTTGGCTACCTGTCAAGATAAGGCACAACCTGCAGAATTTACCACTTCTTCAGGGTCTTGTGCTCCTGTTAAATCAAACAACCTTTACGGAAGTCTTTTTTCCACAGGAGAGGATTTTGATGATGATATTTAAGGCTCTTCAGTGAGATTTGCTGATTTTTCCACTGAGATGGTTTAAAATAATAGCAATATGGCCTGCATTTAAAATCAAACACTTCAATGTTGAATAATAAAGTGGATTATATTTCAGTCATATTGTTTTAGGCATGGCACAAAAAGGCTTTAATTATCTGTGGAGCTATGCTGTATTGTTAATGGGACCATTGTTATTGATAAAGAGGCATGGAAAGCAAAGGCTTTTTACAAAAATCAAATCTTTGAACAAGTGATAGCTTAGAAAAGCTAACATTATTACTGGTCTCTATTTTAATAAATTGATATGCCTCTATTTAAACAAACTTGTTATAAATTCAATACAGAAGCACTAAAATAAAATTTCTAACAATCAAATGGCTCCATGATGGTAACTAAACATGGAAGATTCATCAATGTGAAAAGAAAATATACCCTTGCCCTCTGACCGTACCATTGCCACAACTTGCCATAACTTTATGCTAGTTCTATTTCTTGTGTACATATTAAACCTTACTCAGTGTGTAAGAACGAACTAAATTTGGAAAGTTAGCATGATTATGATATCTAAGAATATGGAATTACAATCAGATTACAGAAAGGAGAAAGGTATAAAAAGAGGCTTTAACAATGTGTGTTAAGAACTACAAGTTATACAAGAGCTATTTGGAAGCGGATGGTTGCTTGGCATACTGGATAGCATCCAGGGCTGCCCCAATGTCGTAGTTCTTGGAATGCAACAGGTGAGTCAACCAGCCTCCATTATCGGAGAATCCCATCGAGAGCATCTGGGACAAGGATTCAATCAGGCGAGGATCCGCTTCTGTAAAAAGGTTGAATTGTAGCATGTCATATTCATTGGCCCATAAAAATTGTAATCACATACCTGAAATTTGCTATTCCACACCTGAATTTAATTAAATTCAACAATTATTGCCAGTATTCTTTTTTTTTTAAAAAAAAAACTCACTTTATAGAACAAATCTTAATCTCATTTGATAATCATAATTGGGATTGATTTAAACAAAATGCAAATCTTAAAAGGAATCAGATAATCAGCCATATAAGTTAAAATTTCAGATTGAAAGAAGATCTTTTAAATATTCCTAAATTGATTTTCTAGCTAAAGGATGCTTTTATTACCATTCCATAATAATTTAGGCAATAAGTGTGTCAGGTGTTTTATAAAGTTATTGTGACTTGTAAAGGTAGACATTGTGTTAGACCTTTCTTAAAATCGGACTACTATTTGGGTAGAGGATTTCATGCACAGTACATTGGCTCTTCACTAAAGCAGCTTAGCTATTTTTGAACTTCTGCACAAGCCTAAAAATATGATGCTGCTATATTTCTGCCAATGCTTTAATAGTATTTTACAAAAATATTTATTATGGTTTAGTTTGTATCCAAGCTTATTAGGACACAATTTCTATAAAACGATTTTGGAGCCTTCTTAGTTCTTATTACCAGGTGGAAGATGAGGGTAGATCGCAGCTTCTCGCAAGCCTGTTGGTCCAGGATTAGTGGGAATTTCAACTGGATTTAGAGATCTTGGGCTGTCTTCCTCTAGCATTTGTAATGACTGCAATTCACCAGTTGAAGGGTCTACTTCCTTTGAAGATAAATGGGTCCAGTCCTCATCTCCCCCTGAACTACCACTGGATTCACTTTGCTCCTGGAATATACAAAAACAAAATGTTAGCAAGCCTACTTTTATTAGCTATATTTCCAACTGCATCTAAAAATGGTGATTTGCTTTTTACTAATTCAAAAGAAGCAGACCTCTATATCTATATTGCAACAAACAGTAAATCCTACAACAAACAGAACTATCACTCCTCCCAGAATCTAAGGACAATAAAATTTTTGCAATTCAGGCATGGTGTGTTCCAGAGAACTTGGATATTCAATTCCATTTCACTCCATGCCTGATGGCAGTTCAGCCATTTCATAGCATGATCTAGTATGAATAAGCTTCAGATTAAATATAATAAAGTGTGCTTTATTGCTAATAAGTATTAACAAGTTACTTTTCTCTTGCAGTTAAAAACTTTATCATATCCCAAAAGCTTCAATATTCTTGGAGCACCAATTAACATATCTTTATATGTGCAAAACTGACAATTCTTGTACCTGTGACAAAATATTCTCTTCTTCCATCTGTTCAGGTGGAGAACATACTATCATCTCCTGGATTTGGTTTGCAAGAACATCACTTATGTCTGGATTATTTTCAGAATTTGCTTCTGGTTTGGTTTGCTCAGTAGGACTGCTAGGTTTGGAGCAGCTCTTCTCAGAACTAGGTTGTGCAGGTGATACTTTGCTTCTTTGACCCTCATGTTCTACATCAATATCCACTTCAATGCCTAAAAAAGCAGTTGACATGTATTATGTTAATGACATACTGCAGTATATTCATGAGCACCCCTAATTTTCTGTCTACGTGTTCATTACTCTAGTTCTATCATGTTTTCTCAAAATTGGAGATTAATTCTTCTGTCATCCATCCCTTACTTCATAGGCAACATATTTCCAAATAAACCATCATTTGGGAGAACATAAAAATGAGTAACTAGATTACATCAAGCGGGTGTTGCATCAGATATTCTCCAATACTTGATGCTTGAGCGCCAATTCATTCTCATATTACACATTAATTCATGAGAGTTTCAAGTGTTTAAATACTATTTATGCATCATATTGTCACAGTACACTTAATCACTGTTAATTTATTAATGATCATATTCAAAGGATATGATCATAGTTGATAATATATTTTTAAAAACTCTACTTCTGGTATCTTACATAATTCACCCATGGTATTTTATATTTTTCGGTGAAATTATTTGGGTGACCCAAATTAATAAAAAGTTTGCTTTCTGGGAAGTCCACAAGAGGGACATGAAAACCAATATTTAGAATTTGAAACCTCCCAGAACTACCTTGTGGTAAGCTGGGCAGTAAATAAATTTTACAAATAAGTATATTTTAAAAACAAAAATATACAGTGAAAGGAATTTTGTACCAAGTGGACCCAGGAATGCAGCAACACTTTCTCCAACATTCTTCAGGAAGTTGACACTGGAATCTTGAACTTCATTGCTAGTGGTTTCTTTTATAAAGCAAAAATATGATACATATATATGAATTGTTCAAGACAAGAACTTTATGAGATTATCAATCCCAATTAGGGAGGGGTGTGTGCACACATGTATAAAATTAGATACATAATTTTAAATTTCTTTTTAAGATGTAGAACTTTTATATAAACAGCATTTGCAAGGAAATAATTAGACAGGTATCAGATATTTGCTAATTTGTTTTGCATTTAAAGCCTCCTGTTACTGCAACTTTTAATTCTTACCACATTCTGGAGCATCATTTTGAGAAGTAGTACTGGCTTGTGCCTGGCCAGAATTCTGGTGCTGATGGGCAAAACGTGGGTGTCCCCTACCGCGCAACCAGGGAAAGGAGCAAGCATCATGTCTCATTTTACGAAGCCACCGGCCCTGAAGAAGCCACTAAAGAGTAAACAAATGTTTTTAAGCCACAGCAGCTTTAATATAAACCACAAAATGACTTTATAATTTTTACAATTATCTTTGTATATCTCTGCCTTTCTTCACAATACTAACCTCAAGCTGGTGGAATGGACTTGGAAACATGACCATGTTATGCTCCTTATGGACACCTTTCCCCTCACAAGTGCTGCACAGGTCATAGTCTGGACAAACTGCACATTTGAATCTTGCACCCACAACTGGGCCCTCACAACCATCACAGATCACATTAGGATGCACGAGGTTTAGAGAATGCTCCTTGTTGCAGGAATGACGGTTCACATGCTTAAGCTCCTTTTTTTCTGAAAGACACAAACATAAGCTATCGTTCAACTGAAACCATGCTGATCAAACGATAACAGGTAGTCCTTGAGTTACAATTGGTTTAGCATCTGTTCAAAATTACAACAGCACTAAAAAAAGTGATGTAACTTTTTCATAATTAAGGACCACTGCAGCATCCCTATGGTCATGTGATCAAATTTAGGGTTTTGGGCAACTAGTATTTGACAATTGCAATGTCCTGGGGTCACATGATCACCAGTTGTAATCTTCCCAGCTGGCTTTTGACAAGCAAAATCAGTGGGGGGAAGCTAGATTTGCTTCACGACTAAATGGTTCACTTAATAACTGCAGTGATTCACTTAACTTTGGCAAAAGGTCATAAAATGTTGCAAAATTCACTTAACTGCCTTGTTTAGCAATATAAATTTTGGACTCAATCATGGCTGCAAAGTTGAAGACTACCTTACCCAAGACTAAAAAGTTATCCATATTGCAGGACAATTAAAAGGTAATATAAAGTAAGGTTTAATCCCCACCCTCCCACAGGCTAATTGTACCTGCTATTGAGAAGAGTATGTCTACCATAATACAAATAGATATGTCTTAAGTTCACAAATCACAACAAGGCATGTTTGTTTTCCATTTAGTGGGCTCTGAATCTAGCCATCTCAGCTTTCAATTTTACCTATAACAGGACCATCTTCCCATGAAAGACCCTAGGTCTGGAATAAACAACATTTCATGAAGGAAATCTAGAATAGCCTTTTTTCATCATCTCTCCCCCCCCCCTTCACTTCTTAAAAATTTCTATATAACAATCCAGTTTAGTGTAAGAAGGTACCCTAAAAATGCAAACTTTATTTTAGCATTTTGACATCACTTAGCTAAAAACTGCCTCCAATATAATGCAATTAAAAATCTAAAAAGTTCTTAAATGACTCATTCTGCAACAGATGAGTGAACCACGCATTTTATCGGCAGGAAAAATTGCTTCATATCATATATAGGGTTCTTTGCTTTGAGCGACTAAAACTGTTTTTCCTTCAAATCATGCCTGCTGATGCTATGCAATTAACAGCATTTTTGTTTTAATGTCAGCCATAGTACAATATCTACCAGAAGACAAAGGAACCAGAGCCTAACTCAATGCCAGAAGCAGACTTTAATGATTGCTTTTTTTGTATTTCCCAAGGCAGCTGCTGCTGCTTTCTTCCAGGATAACTGAATGAAACCCATTTTTCATTGCCCATCATTTACGGGCCATTCTAATTAAGTGTTCAAAATATTTCCTCTGTTTCAAAGCTTCCTGAGTTACATAATCAGTTGGAAATAAGACTGAATGTAAGGTAACAAGAAAAATATCCACTGCTTTACTTTTACATCAACAAATTACTTCTTGCTATAGATCGCTTCTATAGAAAAGCTACAATGTCCTCATTATCTTGGCTTAGTTGCTGGAACAAGAAATTATTTTTAGAAATTATAATTGCAGGAACAATTGACAAAAGTGAGGAGTTGCCACTGTAATCCTCAACTTACAGCCATTCATTTAACAACCATCTGAAGTTACATTTGGAAAAAAGTGTCTTATGACTGATCCTAACACTTAAAGACTGTTACAATGTCCCCATAGTCCCATAATCAAAATTCAGGCACATGGCATGAATGTATAATGTCTACAGCATCCCAGGACCATGTGATCACCATTCCCAGAGGGCTTTCAACAAAGTCAGTGTGGCAACCCAGATTCGCTTAACACCCACAATTTTCTCTGCTTTCTGCTTAGCCTGAAATATTTCCAATAAGAGGATAAGGATTTTGAATTGAAAACTATCCGTGTAGTGCAGGTTCTTTATTTTGAACCAACTGCATAGCATGAATGCATGAGTGCAACTTCCACAAACAAAATCAATGTTACCTTTAACATAAATCCGAAAAAATCCAGCTTTCACAGAAGGTGGAACCAACTTCAATTCCTCATCACTGGAAAAAGCGATCATATCACCATCTTCATCTGAAAGTAAATAATAATTCATTTATTATTTGATAGAAAAGATATACAATTACAGTCTGAACAATTCTTATGTAACATGCCACCTAGAAAGTCATCAACAGGAAGCAGGAAACATGATTGTGTTGAACCTTAAAGTTTATGTTGAATAAGTTAAAAAAGGCAGCAAAACACTGATTAATCGTTCCTCCAGCTGTTTCTTTTGGATCATTGCATTATAAAATTGATTACTACTACTAGTTCTGCATCTAGCTTTTTTTTTAATAAAAATTTTATTTGGGTTTTCACAAAACAATACAAGTAAAATTTCGTTTTTTTGAGAATAGCATGGTCCCGGGTTATCACTTCTCCATACAGACACAAATTCAATTTCATATTCATCTTTGTGTTCTATTCCATATCTTATTACTATTTTAACATTTTCTCAATAATTTTCCCCTTCCCTTAGTTTTCTCAATCTTACTTTTAATTATCTCATTCCTTCCTAAATTCAATTACATATATCTTTTTCTAAGTTTCAATATCTTTCTAGTCATTATATTTATACTTTTGTCTGTCCTGTTTCAATTTCATATTTTCTTTTCTCATTAAACAAAATTTTTCCCTGTAGTTACTAATTGGAGTATGACACCTTTATATCTTTTAATTTTTATCCATTCAACTCTTAAACTTCAATTTATGCCTTTACAATTATAACATTCAATATAATACATAACTTCCAGTCGAATTCTGTTTGGTACGTTCTTAAAATATGCACTAAGTTCTTAAAGAGAAAATATATATATAACAATAAATAAAATACTTATTCTATTCCAATTCAGCTCTATCATTGTTAGTTATAATCTTTGACATCTTTAACATTCCTTTTCGATAGGATATCATACTTCTAGGAACACTTATATTTTCATAATTTTTTCATGTTTCTTTCATATTCTTCACTTAAATTTTTATAACACATTTATAATAATTAAAATGTTCCCCTCCTTTCCTAATTTCATTCTCTCATTCTTATTTCATTTATTTATTAAACATTCCATTACATTACAATGAGTATTTTATCTATCATTTTAATCACACTTGTTTCATATTTTCAAAGTTCATTTCTATTCTAATATAACAATACTATCTTATGTACTCTTGCAGAATCCCCCTTTCAATTAAGTTTTCACCCATTATCTCTGTGCCTTCTAAATAGGCTTATACTCTTAATCCTTGTACGTTTTCCCTGTTCCTCTATGTTCTGTCCTTTATAATTTTTCCTTTCCCTCTTCCCCCTCTTCTTCTCCCTTTCTGTTTTTGACCCCTTCTCTAATTCTGATTCTCTCTTCTGTAATCCTCTCTTCTGTTTCTTCCTGATGTTGTAATTACTTTCCAAACTATTCTTTTTTGGGTTGTTTTTTCAAATCTTAAATTTTTCACTCTCTTTCCCCCCTTTCCTTTTTTTCCCCACATAGAAATACTTGGTCATTGAAGATGGCTTCTTCTTTGTCCTGCCCTTCTTGTTCTACAGGCATTTCTTGTTTCTCATAGTTCAGGAACTCCATTTCTAAAAATTGAAATACGAAGCCAAAAGAACCTCTTCCTTCTTGTGCATCTTCTTTCTGTTTTTTAAGTTCCATTATCAATTCTTCCAAGAGTGATATCATTTTAAAAACTTTTAAACAACCACCCGATTAATTTTAATCCTTTAGATCCAATAGCCAAAAATCCAAAAAATCAAGTAATCCAAAGCTGTTTCTTCTTGCTTCTTTTTTCCACTTTCTCTTCCTGGGGTTCTCTTGTTACAAAGTTTCAGTTAAAATGTATCTTTTAGGAATCTTGTTAAAGTTTCACTGTTAATTCCTTTCAATTCCAGGTGGTCTCCTCCATTTTTCCAGATCCCACCCTTTCGTTTTTTTCCTTCTTTTAAAAGTTTTTGAGAATCCAGAAATCTTTATTATCCTTTGACATTTTATTTTCAGCTTAAATACCTGTTAATGTCAAAGTGGATTTTTGCTGGTTTCTTGCTTAAATCTCTTAGTTGTCAATATAAGCAAGAAAAAAAAACCCAAATCCTTTCCCTTCCCTCTCTCATTCGCCGCTTCAAAGTCTTCTTTGGGAACAATGTTGTTCTTTATAATTCAAATTCCAGGGTACCTTATATTGTTGCTTTTTCAGTTCGACCCGGTCAGCCAAAACTCTCTCTTATCTTCCTCCTGCACATTCTTTTCCAGTCGAGTTCTTCTTTGAGGTGCCCATTTCTGACCACCACTGCAACTGCCTTCGGGAAAGGGAGTAATGGCCAGTTGGGGAGGAGAGATGCGACTCTCCTCGATCCTGCTGGCAGTCTCCCCCCTCTTCACCACCTCTACGAGGTCGCTTAGCCCCGAAACCAGCCAGCTCAGAGCGCTCCAGCGGCGAGCCCAGATTGAAACTGTGCACGATCGCACTTTCAGTCTGTCACCGAAGAAGCTCAAACCGGAAGCCCTGCATCTACATTTTATACAAGTGAAGAAATATCATTCGGTCATAAGCTTGCTCTGCCCCAGTACTTTTCAACCTTGGCAATGTTATGAAGTGTGGCTTCCAAATCGCAGAATTCCCCAACTATCATACTGGCTAGGGAATTCTAGGACTTAATTCCACACATCATAAAATCGCCAAGGCTCAAAAACACTGCTCTACCTAAAATCAATTTACAGACTGCATGCTTCCTACCTAACTCACTCAAATTAAAATTAAATTGTAATTTTTTACTGACGGATCCATACAAAATATAAAACATATTATGCAGGTCTCTTATTTCAAGGCTAAAAATCAGCTGACTATAACAAGAGCTCCAACTTAAAGCAGGCGTATCAAACAGGCAACCTGTGGGCCAGATGTGTCACATGCAAGCCACACCCACCCCAGCTCCACAAAGGGAAAAAAGTCATGAAATGTCACATGATGGCAATGTGATGCCACGAGTTTGATATTCGTGAACTAGAGTCAGTTTTGACTAGTGATTAAGGCACTTGTCTAGAAATTGAAGAGACTGAGAGTTCCAGTCCTGATTTAGGCATGAAAGCAGGCTGAGTGATGTTGGATCAGTAATTTTCTCCCAGGACACATGCTCCTGTGACAAGCTGGTTGGGCAATTCCAGTTGCAACCAATGAATCAACACTCAATTTAAAAAAGAAAAAAAAAAGCAGACTCCTGCATTTTGGAGAAAAAGCTAGGATGAAAAAAAAAAGACTCCAACAAGCTTTGAAGAGGCTTTAAAAAGGAGTAAAACTTAAAAGTAGCATTTTATATGGATCCTAGTAACATTTTTATCTTTATTTATCTTTATCTGGAAAAGCAGGTATTAGGTTCTTTTTGTAACTCTTGGATGGCAAACTAAAGCTCAGTCATACATACCCTTGCAAATTGTGATAGAAGTAACTCTATCTTCAAAAACTCTCTAGAAAAGCTAGTAGTAAGATTTCTACTAGAATGCAAAACAAAGAAGAAAAGGTATTCTTCTGTGAAACAACCATTAGTTATTATTCTGAATTAATTCATGCAGTGGTTTCCATAATGGAGGGGAAAAATGATGAAATCATTTAAATAAAACATCTAATGTAAGCTCCAACCCTTTCCTATCAAGAGAAATGTAACCATTCCAGTGCCTCTCCAGAGTTACACTCCCCAATCATCTTAACAGGTGAGAAACTATGGCCCCTTTTATTTTTTGACTTCAACTCCCAGAATTCCTGAGTCAGCACCCCACCCCTGATCTAACACAATCCCTTCATTCACAAGGAAAATTTACCCACTACAGGTCAAAGCTACATGATTTTGCTTTTGTCCGGTTTTTGCTAAAAGTGAGTTCAAGGTCATTCTCCAGCATACATGCCTTTCTACATATCTCTAATAAGATCTCACTATAGGCTTGGGAAGAGTCCCAAATATCTGAAGTTACTTTCCACAAAAACTAATTAGTTTTAATTTAAAACTAAGAATTTAAACCAGAGTTTCTGGAATTTGTGCATAATATATGGTACAATAGCAAGAAATAATAGAATTTATGCCTTTTAGCAAACCTTGAGGCTTGGGTCTGTTCCATTCTGATGAGGAAATAGGACTACTTTTAGGGCAGCAAAGTTTAGAAAGAATGGTCACAACATATTAAGGGCATTGGACCTTTAACCACTACATGACACAATTTCCTTTGCCCATGTGAAGTCATAATTGTTTATTCTTGTCCTTTGTGGATCACCTATTAAAGCTTGGAATTTGGACCAGGATATTATATCAACTAACTTTTTTATAAACTGCTATAAGTATCCTTGACTTACAATAATTGATCCCAAATTTTTCATTACTAAGCAAGACAGTTAAGTGAGTTTTTACAATTTTTATGCCATAGTTAAGTGAATCACTACAATTGTTTAGTAACATGGTTGTTAAGGGAATCTCCCTTTCCTATTGTCTTTGTCAGAAGATCCCAAAAGGGGATCACAAGACCCTGGGACACCACAACCATCAAATACATGCCAGTAGCCAAGTGTCTGAATTTTGATCCTGCTACTATTGAGATGCTGCAACGTTCTTGTGAAAAACAGAGGTCACTTTTTTTGGTGCTGTTCGAATTTCAAATGGTTGTAAGTCAAGGACTACCTGTACTGACTTAGTTCAGACCCTGAGCTTTAGTATATGACTTCAGGCAACAGTTTGATTTAGAAGCTAAGTTGCTGGCCTAAAACGTGGAAGACTCTGAGTTCTAGTCCTGCTTTAGATGTGAAAGCCAACTGGCTGGGCCTTGGGCCAGTCAGACTCTCTAGGATCAACCCGTATCATCGTGTTTGCTGCCGTTAGGAAAATAGGAAGAGAAAGGAATATCGTACATGGCAGCTTCCTAAAATGTAGGGAAAGGGTTGAAAATTTCTGGGTTTTCACCCTTTTATTTAAATATAGTCGCATTTAGGGTTTCTTACCATCTGGCACTATAAGCCTACCTAACCCGAAGAGAAGGAAGCGCTAAGAGCCCCAGTAAATATCAGACTTTGGGGTGCCGCTCTCAAGAGAGCCAGAAGCCGCTATTTAAGGAAGGCTCCATACTGGAAGTTGGGGACAGAGGGGAAAGAGAGAAGCGATGCAGCCTCGCCGCCTCCCCGGCCCCTCCATCCCTCCTCCATCGCTCACCCTTATAGTACATCTGAAAGGCTCCCGTGGCGGCGGCAGAATTGCGAAGCAGCCCCTGGAAAAGCTCGGCGACCTTGTCCCGGATCGGCTGGTAGCGGGCGGGAAGGTCGACGGCGAAGCGCCGGATCTCGCGGGTGGTCTCTTCCTTGCCCAGCAGGTAGGCCTTGATCGTCAGCTGAGCCATCGCGGCGACGGCAGCGGCGCTGGGTTTCTGTGGCGCAGCAACAATTGGCGCTTCAGGGAGGCCGGCTGAGGAGGAGCAGAGGCGTTTCAACCCAAATGCGAACGACGTCCTTTCTCCGCTGGTTGCCGATGACGACCCGCCCCGGCTATTTATGGGCGCCGCAACCCACGGAAAAGGGGGCGGGGCTCAGGTGGGAAAGTCCCAGCAATGGCGAAGCGAGAATAATAAACAATAGGTACCAACGGGCGATATGTTGAGCTCCCCGCCCCGCCCCTCCGACGGGAAGCTTTTCCTGGGTTTTTGTGAGGAAAAAGGAGGGCACGAGAGGAGATTGCAACGCCGTGATTGGCCCCGGGCTTCCCTCCCCGCCCCTTCAGGATGGCGGTGGCGAATCAAAACTTTCGGCCTAGCGAGCCTTCCACAGGGCGAGCGTTACTCAGCATTTCCTTCGCTTTCCAACGTGAGAACCGAGAGCAGGCCTCGGGGCCTCGCAACGGGAGGGGGAACGAGAGTCGCTCCGACGAATCGGGACGCCCGGACTTCCCTTTTCCCGATTTGCTGACTCACGCCGTGACAGAAAAAACAAACAAACGCCGGAGTGCAAAGGTTTTGCAGGCCTTGGCCCACCCACCTACCCCCGACCGGTGGCGGAGAGTTTCTATCGCTACCTGCAACAGATTGGTGGCGACCCTTAACAGCCACTTCCGTTACCGGAGCGGGGATGATTTTGCTTTTCACTGGGCAATAAGCATAGCCGAGCACAGCTCGCTTTGGGGTAATCACGTATGGAAGGAATTAGGGGATGCTGAATCGTCCATCCATTTAGCTTGGAGTGAGTCTCGATTAATGCGGGCTTACTGTTCGCTCACAGGAGCAGCCCAATCGAGGATTTAAAAAAAATAAAAATGAAAGCAAACCCCACTCCCTACTAACGATGAAGATGTTACCTAGTTTGAGTAATGAAAAGTCTCAAAATAACCAAACTCAAACAACGCCAAGCCCTCTACGGTTTAATCTTGAGCTACAAATATTCTCATCTATTGGTACCATATATTTTAATCCGTTTTTGGCATTAAGCCAACTGAAATGACATGGGCCAGCCTTGCAAACCTAGGAAGGAGGCAAGGCAAACTACTACTTAAAATCTTGACAATGCCAGGATTTGTCCAGGCAAACACCAGGTGTCAACATAGATTCAAAGGCACTTAAAATGATTGCACCCCTGCCCCCCTTTAGATATGACCAGAGTGGAACCCAAATGCTCTTTTTGCTTAATCCCAGCAAACCAAACTTGACCCTGTCTCAGATAAAACTGCCTGCAATCCCATTAGACCACAAAGCATTGAAGTCTCTACTTACAGCACCTGGCAACCTTACAAAGGCATAGCAACCCCATCATCTGTTTATCAATTGATAGCCTTGATGCTCAATTTCCTTAACAATGAACTTCCCCAGCTCTGCTGCCCTCCAGAAAAACCCATTTTGCCTAATAGAACTCGCCTCAGGTACGCTGACAACGACCTGCCTAGCTTCCCCAAACTGGCCAACATATCAGATCCCTTGGATTTCCTGCCCTGTAGCCTTCAATTTCTATAAAAAATACTTGCTTTTCCATTGTTAAGTGTCTTTCTTGCTTCTGGGTGTGATTCAAGATGCTGGTCACTACATATAAAGCCCTGCATCAGCGCCCCCCAACCTTTTAGACACCAGGGACCGGTTCTAGGGAGAGGTTTTTTTGTGGACCAGAGGGGCGTGGGTTTTGCATGCTGCCTGCACTCCGTGGATAGGACTTAACTGGTTTGCATGGCCTGGTTTCTGGCATGCCACAGCCCGGTGTTGGTCCTTAGACCAGGGTTTGCGGGGCCCTACCATACATGACTTAAAGGCTGATTAATTTGAGACTGCTTGTCTCCCAAAGTGTGTGCCTGGCCAGTTTAATCTGGCAAGATTGGCATGGTCTGGGTTCCTTTGATTAAACAATGTAATTTATCAGGATCCTGAAAGCACAACCTCCCTATTGGAGCACCTGCCCTTTGAAATGAGTTTCTCCCCTCAGATTCAAACGTCCCCCTCCCAACTGTTATTTTAAATGGCCCTGAAGATGTGGCTTTTCACCCTGGCCTTTGTCAAGGATTGATGCAACTTTTTTCCATGTTATATCTGGATTTGTTTTCTCTGCCTTCTTTGTTTCTTTGGTTATATTGTTTTTGTGTTATTCGTTTTTAAATGCTTTCAAGAGTTTGTAAACTACTCAGAGTCACTGGGAATTCTGGTGGCATATTATTTTCTACAAGTGAGAGAGAAAAGCTCAGTTAGGAAAAGCTCTTCCTTGATCTCCTGACTATATTACTCGTTATGACATCATTTGTCTTCCAGAAGATTCAAAGACATAATTTGCCTTCCAGAAGATTCAAAAGAAAGTGTACTTTAGTGCTCCTATTACAAAGGGAAATTACCTCAGCTGATAATGACTCATTCAAAGTCTCATGACTGCTTGAAGTCCACCCCTTTCTTACTGCCCTAGCTAGAAAAAAATAGTACCTGCCTAATCTGTACCCCACAGCTTATGTAGGCATGGCTGTATATACATAATACATTAACCCATAGTTTACCAGGATTCTCAGCTATTTCTTTGTATAATAAACTTGAATTATAAAATAGCTACAGGGATGGGCTTGGTATTTATTTGTCTCGAACTTGCGTAGGGTCTGCTGGTTCAGTAGGGAGCTGGACCTCCAAAGTCCCTTCCAATTCTGATAATTCTATGTGAGAGCCTACAATTCTTGAATAGTTAAGCCACAAGTGGTCTCAACTATTACTGAGAAAATTGAGTATTCCATATCTTTGGGGCTGATATTTCTCTTGCCTGCCCATCTTTTTTGTTAAAAATACATGAACAGGGCCAGATAAAAGTAAAAATCAATGCATGGATTAAAAAATATGGCCTCCATTCCTTAATCTAGTTTGGTTCCTATAAAAACAGAGTTTTTCCCTGGCTTGGAAATAAATTGCACCTCTCATTAAATTGTCTTTTTAACCACTGTTAGTTAAAGAGACCATAAAATGCTAAACAAAAACCAAATGAAATTCACTTTGTATGTTGCATTGCTCCTATAGATGAAGGACCAATTGAAAAATTAATTATTTGATACTTCAATCTGCTGAAGATTGGTAATTAATGACTGAAAGGCATTTTTTAAAATTTCTCAGAAGGGACATGTTAGTTTGCAAAACTTTTCCTCCTACCTCTAAAGTGTTTCATGTTTAAACATTTGGATTTCCTGACAGAAAATCTATGTTTAGCCACAAGGAGTCCATCTATGATGGAATGTAGTGAGGAGGTAGATTTCCAGGAGGGAGGGGTGCATTCCAGGGGAGTAAAGGCAACTCAGTTAATGTAGTAGATGCAGTTAGTAGAGAGCTCAGTTTGGCAAGACTTCGGCTATAGGTATGAAACAATAAAAGAACTCGGCTTGGTAGAATCTCCATCAGTCATTTTTGGTTTGGGGCTTGACACCCACCTGAATCTCTTCTAGTCCCTTCTGTACTTCCTGGAGGAATGTAAATGTTGCAGGAATGACTCAACTGAGTCCCATGATCAATTTCTATTCTCCACAAATCCTATGGAGGGAGCTCTAGGCTGAGATTAGATAACGCCTACATCCTGGTAATTGCCACCTTTGATTCAAGCAGTGTCATGGACAATATTCCAGAATTTACTGGAATGTTCTCACTCTATGCCAAGTTATTAACATTTAAGAGACTTAAATTGTTTTTTTTAAACAATTCTAAGGATCCTCATTGTTTGACAAACAAGCAATGTTACAGATGTGTCCGCTCTGAGTACTACAGGCATAAGACTAGCGTGATTGGATCTTTGCTTAACTTAGTAATTTGGGTGTTACTTTCCCACCGTTAGTGTTTCTGTTAAAGCAGAGGCAAAACTTTAAAAAGGAGATAGAAATATGACCGTAATTTTCATATAGAACAATAGGTAAAAGGAATTGAAAATGACAGTTTTTTTTTCAAAATCTTCGTTATATTAGAATGTTATAACTTTTTTCTCCCAAAGTAGCAAATTTACTTTCTGAACAAAGTCATATAATGCAGAACGTCATACAGGGCTTATAGATTTTTAAAGAGTAAATAAACATTCATTGAAAGCTGCTGAAAATCTTATGATTGGGAAAGGTAATGGAAATCTTAATCTGTTTTGCTTCAAATGTCCATTTCTGGTTCACTGGTGGCAGTTCCATCTTTACTGGAGGATCAATGAAATCTGGTTTAATAGCCATATGGGTATTACTAAGTCCAGTAATTCACATTTCCTGGAAGGAAAGAACAAATCTATAGAAACTTCAACAATTATTTATTAGTTTTATATGTGCTATTAGCTATAATATTGCAAAACATAAAAGAAATGCTCATTTGTGTAACTAATGTTTTATTTACAGTATCAGTCTGTCTTGAGTTATAAAGAACTATAATCAAGTTTATGTGTATTTTTAAAAAAACGTCCTGAGGAGAATAAACAATTCTAGGATATCCTGGATGCCACAGTTCATATTTTAAGATTAGCATGTAAACAATAGATCTACTTCTCAAAAGCATCTATTGTAATTCCAAAAATAGGAGAGTGAACATCTTTAAAATGAAGTGAATGCAAGAAATTCTGTTCTGATACCAAAATCTTTCTAAGTTTTCTGTGTTATGCTTGGAAAGTATTGGATTTTGATGCTAATACTCGTGAATACATTATGGAATATTTCTATTTTAAAATACATATTAAGTTGCTTCTTTACACTTGAAATTACAATTCGTCAAAAGATTCTATTCCAAGGGTATGGATACCTCAAAGAATGCATCAAAAATTATAGACTTGAGATTTTCTATTGGTCATGTAAATAATTTAAAAATATAGAGGTACCTCAGTACCTGTCATTAATTGGTTCCAGGAGGTGCGATGAGTACCAAACAAAATTTTTCCATAAGGAATAATGTATTAGTGATGAGGCAACTGACACCAACAAGTTCTAGTTTGCACATTGAATGCCAAAGAAATGACAAGTACCAGGACAAAATTTTTGCATCAAAAAGCGTCAGGTACTAAATTCAACAAGTTTCAAAGCAATTGAGTACTGAGGTACCACTGTATGTTAATCCATCAGATTTGGACTTGTCCATTAGTGGTTCACTTTTGG